GAGAATTAGAAAAGTTTTGACTGCAAAAACACTCTGAGAGCCACGAAACACCCTATAGAAAGGAAAATTAACGTTCAAAGAAGAACGGACGCTGAGAGCGCTAGCACGCTTTTCGAGTTAGAGAGCTGTTTGTGTGGATACCAATAGAGGGAGCAAATCTATGTTGTCAGCTCTTGCTATCCAAACATGTGCCAACTTCGATTATTTCAATCTTGTTCTTGGCTCGAAGAGCCATCCTCATTGCTTAGCTTTAGGTTGCATAGTTCATTACTCTAGCAATGGTGGAGTGACTAAGGTAACTTCTTGAATGTTGGATGGATAAAGGTAGGGGCATCGATTCAAGAATGATGAAAGAAGAAAGATTAGGATTTACTGATGAGGTTGATTTATGTTAGGGAAGATTTGCCCCGCTTTAGTACCAAGATAAAAATACAAAGATTCTAAATAATTAAAGTGTTCATTTTTGGAGCCTTTTGGGCTTATGTTTTCATTCACATAAAAGAAGCAATGAACTAAATATATATAGGAATAGGAAAGTGGAGAACAAATAAAAGGCACGTAGGCCCAAAGTAAGCCCAAAAACATGAGACTAAAACAAACTAATAGCCTAACCCAACATTAATTCTCAATAGTGTGTACTATATGATAAATGTGCCACAAATGCATATCAAAGTCATTTAGAAAACACAAAAATAGCTATCATCAACCTTAAAAGGATTGGATTTGATGTATTTGGTAATTTCAAATTATAAATTTGCTCATGGAACTTAACTCTTAATGCTTCATTATGCATGCAACTTCATCACACACACATGGTTTATGCAGGAATTCCTCATATTTGTAGCTCATTTTATGCTACGAGAGTTATTTTCAATCCAAACATTGAGGAAGTGAAAGACTTTGTTGAAAGATTTTGTCATTTATACATTCATAATGTTAGACATATATTTTAGAAAGTGATTGTTCTAAAATTTTAATCATTTATCATGACAGTGCTGTAGATGTTCAAACCCCTGTCTTGAGTACAGTTAGGCTAGCACTTTTATCTCAATCCAGTCAATCATCTGCTGATAGTCTTTTGCATTCAACCAAGAAGATCAATATTTCTGACATCAATGAACAATCAGCTATATTCTTATCAACATTAAGAATATTAATTATTAAAGTTTAATATGCAAGAGGCATCCTAATGGACTATTTAAAGTGATCTAAATGATCACATAGATAAGTTAATTTTTTTCCTTTTCGAACTTCTTAATATAGGATTCAAGCTTTTTGATAAGTTGCAAGGTTACCAAGCTAGAAACAAAACATGGATGGACTTATGATGGTTATGGCAAGTGTGCCACAAAGCACCAAAGTTTGAGGATGGAAATTACTATTGCCCAACAACAACAACAACAACAACAACAACAAGCCTTTATCCCACTAGGTGGGGTCGGCTACATGAATTGCAAGATGCCATTGTACTCTATCATTTATCAAGCTTTTAAGAATATTATTAATTAAGAGATCGTGTTTAACAACTTCCAAGAGTGTTCTCTTAGGCCTTCCTCTACCCCTCTTAATCGGACTCAAAGTTATATGTTCCACTCTTCTTACTGGTGCCTCCCTTGGTCTTCTTTGTACATGCCCAAACTATCTCAACCGATTTTCTACCATTTTTTCCTCAATAGGTGCTACCCTCACTTTTTTGCATACGTGCTCATTTCGAATTTTATCTTTACGTGTATGTCCGCACATCCATCATAACATTCTCATCACTGCTACTTTAACTTTATGCTTTTGCTGTCCCGTTAGAGCCCAGCATTTACTACTATATAACATTGTCGATCTGATAGCAGTGCGATAAAACTTTCCTTTAAGTTTATTAGGCACCTTACGGTTACAAATAACTCCTTTAGCTTTTCTCCAATTAAACCACCCAGCTTGAATCCTATTTGAAATATCTCCACTGATTTTGCCATCATTTTGAATAATGGCTCCCAAATATCTAAACTTTTCCACTTGAGGTATAATTTGATCTCCCAATTTCACTTCCAAATTATTGTCGAACAGTCTCTTACCAAATTTACAATATAGATTTACTCCTACTCAGATAGAAACCTTTCGACTCTAATGTCCTCCTTCATAACTCAAGTTTGCAATTAACCTCTTCTCTTATCTCTGCTATAAGAACTATATCACCCATGAAGAGCATACATTTGGGAATTTCCCCTTGAATATGTTCCATCAAAACATTTAGGATCAAGTTGAACAGATAAGGACTCAGAGATGATCCCTGATGTAGTCTAATCTTTATAGGAAAATCCTTTGATTGACCACTAGGCGTTCTTATACTAGTTTTTACCCCCTCATACATATCTTGTATGGATTTAATATAAGCAATTCATACTCCCTTTTTTCCAACGCTTTCCAAAGCATTTCTCTTGGTATACGGTCATAAGCTTTTTCCAAATCAATAAAAACCATGTGTAAATCTTTATCTTTACAATGATACTTTTTTGTTAATCCCCTTAGTAGATAAATCGCTTCTGTAGTTGATCTACTTGGCATAAAACCAAACTGATTCTCAGAAATACTTGTCTCCAATCTCAACCTGTGCTCAATTACTTTCTCCCACAATTTCATTGTGTGGCTCATGAGTTTAATCCCTCTATAGTTAGTACAATTCTGAATATCTCCTTTATTTTTATAAATAGAAATTAATGTACTTTTTCTCCACTCATCAGGCATTTTCTTGGACCGTAAGATCACATTAAATAACTTAGTTAACCATCTCATCCCTTCTTCACCTAAACATTTCCATGCTTCGATAGATATACAATCAGGTCTGTTGCCTCTACCATTTGTCATTATCTTAAGAGTTTCCTTTACCTCTTTATCACATATTATTCGATAGAATGACAAATTTTGTTCTCCTTCACCAGTTAGCAAATCCTCCAAGTTACTAGATGAACCCTCTCCATCATTGAAAAGTTTGAAAAAGTATGTTTCCCATTTATTTTTAATTTCATCATCTGTAACTAAAATTCTTCCCTCTTCATCCTTAATAAACCTTACCTGTTCTAGATCCCTTGATTTTCTTTCCCTACTCTTGGCAATCTTATAAATGTTTCATTCTCCTTCCTTTGTCTCAAAGCTCTTATAAAATTCTTCAAAAGCTTTAGAACAAGCTTCACCCACAGCTCTCTTAGTTTCCTTCTTAGCCATACGGTACCTCTCTCAATTTTCCTCATTGTTACACAAATGTATGGCTTTAAAACAGTTCTCCTTATACTTGATTTTGTCCTGTACACTATTATTCCACCACCAAGACTCCTTATCTCTCGGACCAGAACCTTTTGATTCTCCCAAAACTACTTTTGCAACCTCCCGTATCTTTTTAGCCATATCCTCCCACATGATGTTAGCACTTCCCTGAGATTCTCAAATTCCTTTATCCAAAAGATTTCGCTTGAAAATATCTTACTTTTCACCTTTTAATTGCCATCACCTAATCCTTGATGCTACTACTTGTCGACGCTTTTGGATTTTACTCATAATACACACATCAAGGACTAGGACCCTATGTTGTGTCGTTACAGTATCTCCGGAGATCACCTTGCAATTTTTACAAAGTCTTCTATCTGTGTTCCTAACCAAAAGAAAATCAATCTTTGACCTTGAGACTCCACTTTTGTAAGTGATGAGATGCTCATCTCTCTTCTTGAAACAAGTGTTGGCAATCTTAAAATCATACGCCAATGAGAAATCAAGAAGAGTTTGTCCTTCATTGTTTAGCTCTCCAAAACCAAAACCACCATGCACCCTCGTATACTGACCAGCTTCCCTCCCAACATGCCCATTAAAGTCTTCTCCAATAAAAATCTTTTCACTCCTCCAATAATAGTAATTTGGGAAATTACTATTGCCCAAATTGCAAAAAAGTACCTATATCTATTGAGTTAAAGTACCTTCTTTAAGTGTTTCATGTTTTACATCAAGAGACTGTTCGGTCATATTATAACTTTACATACATGCTTTATTGTAGGTTGAAAATCCATTACATGGTTTCTAATGTAATTGGTAAAGCTTCAGTCATGTTTTGGGATAAACTTGCGCAATAGATTATCCATAATGAATGCTCCTGAGGTGAAGTTTATTCTAGAGCAAGTTGTTAAATTGGGAGTGCACATGAATGTTCAATTGCTGTACATAAATAGTCCACTATATTGTATTTTTCATTAATATATTTGTCCATGCTTAGGATGATCATGCATATGATTTTCATGACGAGCTTGGTCAATTGATTGGAAGAAAGCTGTTGTGCCTGAAGCTTAAGCTAAATTAGTATAACAAGGACTTTCCTAATTTCAGCATCATTGAACAATTTGTTAAAGGTTGCTAAAGTGGTGAGTAGTAGTCTTATTATTGTTGAACAATGATATCACGCTACTAATTGTGTCATAAAATATTACAATGTATTACTTAACTATTGTTTGGTATACATAGATTCCACCTGCTGTCCAAGGTGCAGAACCAGAGGTACTACCCACTACCATATTATACTTATTTTATTTCATATGGTCAGGAGGTAAGAAAATTTATGATATTGTTCTGACCATTTCTCAACTGAAGGCTTATATTGCACAAGAGACACAGGAAGATATTTTAGCTAAAATTATTTCAATATTGGTCTTGATGATGAGATGACAATATCTATGACTATCAAAGCAGTTCCCATAAATTTTGATAAAATTATAATTTATAATAAATATTTTAGTTATATTTTATTGATTTTTGAATTAGATATACCAAAGAGAAACATTGGTCTAATGGAAATTATGTTAAAGTGTCAGGTGCTAAGTTCGAATCTTATAAGTGAAAAAGGGAGGATTTTTATTGGTGATTACAGCCCTTATTAAATTGCCATTTTGTCTCTTTCTATTTTTTTTTTTTTGTTTTCAATCTAATAAATAAATATAGAGAAGAATCGGATAGGAATCGGGAAGCTTCCTTTTCTCCTTCATTTTTCCCGTGGATGCACCTTCAAATGGACAGTGAATGAGCCTCCAACTTTGACTCTCAGCGTCTTCTCCAATCTCCCTCTCCGTTCATCGTCGGTCATCGTGTAAGTGCTGGAGCTTCCTTCCTTTGTCCTCCTCTGCTCAAGTAAGCTGTAAGTGTGTGACAAAATCTCCCTCCTCTGTTGTGCTATCGTCGATCCCTGCTGGGGGGTCCTGACGAACTCATCTCCTTCTTACTGTCGACATCGAAGACTATGGTAGTTGAAAATCCTTCCTGTCATCACTCATCTTCACGTATATCTCCTCTATGGTGCATTGCTATGGGGTCGTTGCTGTTGGTCATCTCCTCTATTCGTTCCGGGGGATGGAATGCATCGGACCTTCTTCATCTTCTTCCTCCTCCATGGCCGTGCGACTTAAGCTTCCTCTTCTTGGTTTATCTACCATTAACGGGGTGAGATCTTTGAATCCCTTCCTCTTTTCTGGTTCTGTTCGTGAATGGGAGAAATGATGGGATCTAATCAAGCTAAAAAAAAAGAAAATCAAGTTTTAAGAGCACGATTTTAATATGCTATTTCACTATAATCATTTCGTTCAAGCTTGAAGAGGATGGAAGTAGATTTGGATCTTCTTTAAACTTAATTAGTTAATTCTTGGCAGGGGAGTTAGCTTGCTATCTATTTGAGAATTACTACTTTCCAGATGTTTGATGAAACGAAATTCCCTTAATTTTTATGAGAATGCATTTGGTGTGGATGCTGTTATTCATGAAGTTAACCTAAGCTTGGTGGAGAATTTTATTTATGAAGCTGTTGTGTGGGTAATCAAATTTTGAGAATTTTGCTATTGGTAATTTATAAATTTTGGTGTTAATTCATGGCTTATTCTTGGTTTGCACTTAAGGTGTTCGGTAAAATGAGTTATAGAAGTATTTTGGATTAATAAGTGATAAAGGTTGGGTCATTAGCAATGACTATAGAGAAACCTTTATGTAAATCTTGGTCTAAAGTTTCAAATAACTTTTTTTGTAAATCTCTCTGTCTCTGCGTGCGTGCGTGCATGTGTGTTTGAGAGAGAGAGAGAGAGAGAGAGTATGAAAAGGAAGTTTATTAGAATTGTGAGAAGTCTAGTAAAGTCCTATTATATATTATAAGGAGATTGGGGGAGAAGAGAACTTTGTATCATGGTTTAAACAATAGTGCTTGCAAACCGATTGGTAAAATACTTGTTAAAGGAATTTGACATATGATGGCAAGGTACTTGTGATAGTTGCATTGTTGTTAGTTAAAATATTATACAGGACACATTATCATGGAAATTGAGGCTGAAATTAAAGATTTTTGGAATAGGTATCTTGATTGATAATTCATGAGCTAAATTGCTATTAATGTGTTAGTCCTTGGAATTTTTATGTAATAATTGATGCAACTTTCTTATTTGAATTAATTTGGAGTATATATTTTGAATTGTAAAATGTATATAGGAAAATGACTGTCATATTATTAGGGCACTAGGAAATTAAAGGCCAAGTATTGTTGCAAGAAAATTGGTTTGGAAGCAAGTTAAATTTTGAAAACCTTTAGGTAAGTGAATAACGTCTTAATCAATTTATACATTTGCACATTTTCTTTTATCAAATATTATTGTCAACAGTTCATAGTCATTAATATGTGTTTCTCTAGCACTGATTATTTTTAATTAAATTTCTTTAGCTCTTGAAGTTGTCATGATATGTACTTATAAGATTGATGAAAATGCTTTTACAAATTCTAGTGCTCTTTTATTTAATAAAGACAATTATAAAAATTGATGAAGTTAATGAGACATTAGTTGAGAATTTTCATATTTGAAAGGATGGATGTTTTAAACCACGTGAGTTTGATATTGAAAAAATAAAATTTTATTTTAAAAGTAATGATTTTCTTGCATGTTTGAAAATGAATTTGAAGGAAATTTTATACATAACACTGGTTACTAGCGGCAGATTTATTAGCCTTTGCCACGCCATGGTCAATGATTAGCTAGTTTGATTTTCATAAACTACATTCTTGTATTTGTTATTCGTGGGTCTTACACTCGCATTTGTTTCATGCCTTTAAGCCGTATTTGGTTAGCCTTACCCATGTGAACTGTGTGTCCATATTTATTTCGTGACTTTGGTTGTGCTTGGTTATTTACCCTTATGGACTATGTCTACGTTTATCTTCATGGCATAAGTCGCATTTGGTTATTTACCCTCATGGATTGTATGTCCACGTTTGTGAATTATTCTAATAAATACCCAAGAAATACAAATTTTTAATTAATTGATGATTTTATATTATAATGTTTTTTAAATGGTATTCATTTAATCTACTTTTCTTCTCAAGATTATATGTTAATGTTAGTTTGTCATAAAGATCTAAAGGTTCCCGCAATTGAAGTTGTATAGGAAATTTTATTCCAAGATTACAAAATTATATTGTATTGAATTGTTTTCTCTTTAATTTTCATAACTGATGCAAATTATTTATTTTTATGCTTTTAAAGATTATGTATGGAACGTTATTCACTAAAAAGTATTTTGTTTGATCTTTGATAGCATAACTAACATGATATCTCCTACTGATCTTTGATGAGGTTCATTGCTGAATTAACTAGTAGATCTGTTACGATAATATGTTCCTTTTTATGTAAATTCTAGAATTTGTGTAGTATATTTTGGAAATATAATATAGAATGCTCTACATTGGCTATAGTTAGGGTCCTAATTCTATTTGTTATATTGTCTATTTGTTGTTGAGCTGAGCTTTGTATTGCCAAATGTATATTGTAAAATTTATGTTATAGAGATTCGAGAGATTCTACTTTTAGGAGAGGTACTATTAAAATTTTTATTCAAAAAAAGTGAAATTTTATTTATATGAAAAGTAAAATTAGATACATATAATCATGTTGATAGTGTGCTAGATGTACTAATTTATAATCTTTTCTTAAGCAAGACTTTAAGGATGTATGTTTGTGCATAAATCTCGTGTCAATCACGTTAAATTTTAAGGCGTGACAAGTTTTGACTAAGGGCAGGAGAAAGATCTATGCTAAGAAGACCAATGCCTGTGGTAATGCCAAGAAGAATGCTCCTAATGCTAGCTCTTGAGCGACCTCTGCTGCAAAACATGAGAAGTCCATTAAGTTGGAGAAGATGTAGATATTTAATCTACATTTGTTAGGATCTAAATCTATTGTTTTTATGTTGTACTTGGTGTTGTCATCTTTATCGCTGGAATTATATGGCTTTATCTTGGGACCTTAATAAATTGTTGCATGCTTTAAGTCATGTGTGGTATGTTCATGCCACCATGTTAGGTTTCATGTGTTAAATCGCTTACTTTTATCTATCTAGTATGTGCTGTAATCCCTCAAACTTAAGTCTAAGCTTAATCCTTTGATCCTGTAAGTCATTAGTGGTGTGTTAAATACCACTATCCTATGTTTAATGTTTAATATTTCATGTTTTCCTTAGTCTAAAGTCTACTTTAATGCAATATTTTGTATTAAGTTTTCTCTTTATTATAAACATTCATCAACATTATTTCACATCAAACAAAAAAAAAAAAAAAACTCTCTTAGTAAAATGTAAGGGTGCTTATTAACAGAAGAAAACAACTAAAACAAACTCATTCTAAATAATTGGCTTAATTCATAATGATAAGGATGTCGTCAAATCTCATATTGTACATTCTTACAAGTGTGTATATATATATATATAATTTTGATATTATTGAATATTAAATTTTGCCTACTTTGGATGTTCAAATATTGTAGTCCTTGATGTAAATGAAATTAGGAAGAAATATTTTGTTCAATTTGGATTTAAATCCTGCAAGTAATTTATAGTGATGTGAGTTCTAACATCTCATGATTGGCTTAACAGAGCTGCATTGAGTACTTTTCATGATCTTTCTACTTGGACTGAGCCCATGATGTCATATATATAGGTGGTATGGGCCTAACAAAGTTTGTACATTATTTGGACTTGATGGATATGTGCAGTTTTTGCATCTTGGACAATAATGATGGGCTGTTTTTTTTTCTTTGAAAAAAAAAACTTGGCAAATATCACATCCAAATACTCATAGTAAACCATACATTTATTAATATTGCTGATTTATTTATTAATAAGATTTAATTAATAAATAAATCTGCAATATTTATTAATAAGATCTATTAGTATTGAAGATATCACTTCCAAATACTCATAGTAAACCACTCATGATAGCTGAAATTGATATACCTTCACAATTATTGATAACAAATTATAAAGATTCATTACATGCAATAGTTTTTGAAATATATTTAGATTTGTTAGAAATTTTATCTAATACTGAAAACTTTAATGATAGAGTAATCCTTATACCTACTATTGGGATAGTTAATCAATTGAACAATTGTCTATGTTTTTTATTGCTTGGAGGTCCAATTGAATTTTTTGAGTTGTGACACAAAATGAAAATCAACACAAGACATTGATTGCTTTGAAGGTATACACAACTGAGTTTTTGAATTCAATAAGTTGCTCTCGGTTACCACCTTATAAATTAACATTGAAGGTTGGTGCTCCTATTATGCTTCTAAGGAATGTTGATCAAGCATTAGGTTTATGCAATGGTACTAAATTGAGAATTAATAACCTTGAAAATAACATGATAGAAGCCATTACATTAATTGGCTCAAATCCAAATCAAAATATTCTTATCCATAGAATTGATATGAATCTTTTTGATAATAGATGGCCATTTTGTATGTAAAGAAGATAGTTCTCCATCGCCTGTTCATTTGCTATGAAAATTAACAAGAGTCAAGGGAAATCATTACAACATGTTGGATTGTATCTACCAAAATTAGTTTTCACACAGGGGCAGCTATATGTTCCTCTTAGCAGAGTTAAAAGTATGGATGGGCTGAAAATTCTGGTGCATGGTAGTGATAAACAAGCCAAAACAACCACTACAAATGTTGTTTTTTGAGAAATTTTTCAAGATTTAAGTTAAAGATGAGTAATATTTCAGTATGACTTTGTATTATTACTTATTTGAATAAACATGTTTGTATTATGAACTTGTAATTATATATTTATTTGTAAGTTTGTATGATGTGGAATCATTTTTAATTATGAAGTAATTCATCAATTTTTTGTTCTGTTGGTAATGCTCTCTATGCATTGCATGGAGGAGTAAATACCAGTTTGTCAAGTAGGAGTTTGATTTTAAGGTAAGCCATGACTAACCATTAGATATAGACTCGTAGATATCTTGGTATGTGTGTTAGATTATGACATACTTTCTAGATTTCCATAAATAAGGATGGTATAGCAGTTATTTTGCTAGCAGATGGTATCATAGTGAACAGCTTTATAGATTTGGTACAAGAGGTAATAACTGCTATACAAGAAAATAATGACAAATACCCTTTTCTTTACACATTGGGCCCCATTTACTAACTGAGTCAGCTACCATAAATGAGTCAGACTCAAATTGTTTGACATGGTTAGATGATCAGCCATGAAACTCCATTCTATACGTCTCTTTTGGGAGTAAGGGAACGTTGTCACATGACCAACATCAAGAACTAGCCTTAGGGATAGAGATGAGTGGCCAAAAATTCTTGTGGGTTGTTAGGGCTCCAAGTGAATTCACTTCTTTGTCTTATCTCAATGGCGAAAAGGAGGATCCACTTGACTACTTGCTGGAAGGGTTTACTGAGAAAACCAAAGATCAAGGTTTTGTAGTCCCATCATGGGCCCTACAAATTGAAGTCTTAAAACATGAGTTTGTTGGTGGGGTCTTGTCTCACGTGGCTGGAACTTAAAGAATGAATGCAGTGTTTCTAACTAAGAAATTGAAGATTGCTGTATGGCTGAAAGAGAACGAAAATAATAATGAAATTGTGAGGAAGGAGAAAGTTTCAAGAATTGTGAAGAGTGTAATGAAAGGTGATGAAGGAAAACAAATTAGCAAAAGAATTCAAGTGTTTAAAGAAGGTGCTATTAAAGCTCTCAGAGAAGATGGCACGTTTATGAGGACGCTGAATGCCTTAGCACTTGAATTGAAAAATTTGAGTGCTGAGTGAAAAAAAAATGCAAGTCTTTTAATGTATTTTGTACTTATATATTTTTTATTAATTGTGCACTCTTTTTTTCCTTTCCTATATTTGAAAATCAAGTTTTTTAATGAGCCCGAGCTCATGCTTCCGGTTAGCCTAATCCAACCAATTTCTCTACCCTATTCAAATAATATGCTAGCACTAGCACAAAAAAATAGATTTTACATCAATTTTTAATGTCGATTAAAACGTAACCAGTGTAAAAAGTATGGATATTGGTATTTTTATGTCAATCAAAAGAAATTGTTTCTAACTTTCTACACTAGTTGAGCTACTTAATTGGTGTATAATATTTTTAATTTAAAAAAATTATGGACTTTCTACCTCAATTATACTTTTAACGGTTATATAAAGTTTAAAATAATTTTTTAAAATTATATTTGAAAAATCATTGGTATTCTACATCAGTTATGCTGCTTCACTAATGTAGACTATTTTCAATTATTTTTTAAAAAATTGTTGACTTTCTACACCTATTAAACCATTTAACCAATGTAAAATGTTTAAATTTTTTTTAAAAAAATTGGGTTATTTTTACTCTTGAATTTTTTTTGAAGAGTACTAGTTATCTACTTGTATTGATAAGTAAAAGAATTTTCCCCTTTAAACATTTTTGTGCCACAAGTCGAGGCGCGTGGTACAGTGAAATTTATTCTCACCATACGCACTTGCTTCGACCCAAAATGCACCCCAATCACTTATATTTATTCATACAACACACAAACAAGTTAAAATATTATTTAATTATTCGATCTCTAATCCCACACTAACTTTTACTTCATCCTTGATTAATCTCTGAGCTTAGGATTAAAAAATTCAGAATGTTATAGTCAAACACTTTAAGAGTCATGAAATACCCTAGAGGAAAAGTAAATTGATATTCAAAGATAAATGGTTATTGGAAGCGGTAGCATGTTATTTGAGTTAGAGAGTTGTTTGTGTGGATATCGATAGAGGGAGCAGATCTATGTTGTTAGCTCTTGAGATTCAAACTCTTGAAGATAGCGCACTTGAAGCATGAAAAAAGGGTAACTCTTATTCCCACCTTAAATAATTTCGTTTGGTTCATATCAAGATAGAAAATTTAAAATGTTAATCTTTCACTGTACCTCCCTATCCAACAAATGAAGCATGAGCTAGCTTGAAATACTCAAGAACATTTAAAATTATGAAACATTCAAGAGTGGTTAAAATATATAGGTCAACATACCAAATGAAATTTAACTGTCATGCCCCAAAAATTGGGGGTGATCGGCATGGGTGCAAACTACATTGCACATTCCCGTAAGCATTAAAATAAAAATTCATTTTATTTTCAAAAAAAAATAATCAGATTGTATGAAAATTTTAAAACTTTTGTTATTAATTGTCATAACAAAGTTTCAACATTTTTGTAGAAATTTTGACAGAACCTCCTTTATAAATAAGATCTCCAAAAAATTTTACAAAACAAAAATTTTCCTAAACATTGTATCAATCAGGAGCTCAGGTCCTTCCAACCAACAGACAACATATATATATATATATATATTAAAATAAAACTCTAACTATAGCTTATGTGGAGCAACTAATCTTACTTCTAAGCTAAAATACATGAATCTTAAATATTTACATCAAGAGGTAACAATACCAAATAAAATTTCCATCCAATATAGCCATATGCCCTTCAGAGGTCGGCAATAGAATCAGCATTAACTAAAGAATCTGAGACTAAAATAATTTTTCAGTGAATAACGTCCCAACAATAAATAATTGAAAAAGAATAAAATAAAGTTGAAACAATTTTTGCAATTTAAAGAGGCAACGATCTTCATAACAATTTAATAAACTTTTGAAATAAAAGAATTCTATAAAATTTTAAATAAAAATCTCGAATCATTAAAATATCGTATCAAATAATATTATCACTTGATTGCAAGGAAGCAAATAAAAAATAAATAATTATAAATAATTTATTATTTAAAACCAATAGGATGTGAAATTTCCAAACAATCAAATTCATATAATAGGGACTTATCAGAACAATAAACAAACGTGGACACACATTTCACGAGGATAAATAACCAAACGCGGCTTATGCCACGAAAACAAACATGGACACACAATCCATGAGGGTAAGTAACTAAACGCGGCTAAAGCCACGAAACAAACGTGGACACACAATCCACGAGAGTAATGATAACCAAACGTGGCTTAAAGCCATGAAATCAAACGTGAGTATGATACTCACAAGTAACAATCCCTTCGTTTCACGTGCGATGGCCATCGCACGAGGCTAGCACCTCCTATGAACACCCTGCCAGCTAGGTGTACCATGGTGCGCCAAGGGCTAACGAAACTACCGTTAGCAACCAATGTTT